TGTTAAACGGGACTTCGGTTCTGTTAATGTGTACTCTAGAAACAACATTTAGATATATTTTAACTTTACTTAATGAGTAACACAGGATTAAAACTAAATAACATAGCTGACACAATTGAAGTGTTTGAAAGGTTGCGCCACAAATACATTATTGGATTTGCAATATAGTGATTTTATTGTTTCATAGTTAAATTCATGTTTATATGACTTGTGATGCCAGAAAACAGGAAGGACAGATGAAGGTCAGGAGAGTCTTACCCATCCGGTGAAGGACTCCAGGACGGAGGGCAGGTTGTAGTCCTGCAGCTGGAAAAGCTCCGACAGCTTGCAGTCCACCTGGAACCGGTTTGAGTCGTTGTTGAACTCCACCAGGCAGACGAAGTAACACCAGCCGGACATCACGTAGGAGAGCTTGGGGAGAACAAGCTTCAAACACTATCACAGTTTCTTTCTTGTTGATTTACAACTTTATTATGAGTTATTTCCCGGACTAATACACCCTTCCGCAGGCTTTTAACCGACATAGGCCCTCAAACACTGTAATATCCTTCTCTATGTGAACATAGAGCCTAGATTATGACCAAAAATCACAAGATTGATGTGTCTTGTACGCTGAGTTGATCTTATCCTCTTCACAAATGTTGTCTTAGATGATTGCTTTCCCTTTGATTTAACAGGCACTGATTTTTATGCTTGAATACTTCTAGCTTTGAAAGACTTGAGCTGTGTTTATAAGTGTTTAAATCTGCAGTGTAACTTCCAGTCGTCTCATTAATAAATGTCAGACTTGCAGTGTGGTATAAAAGGCAAAATGAATCGATAAAATGCAAAGCGTAAAATGTGTGCAGAGGACATCATCTGGTCACAACTTTAAATATTTGACCATGTTTATGTGCAAATGAAGAACTCTCACTGGTTCAGAACCTTTTTCCTTAAGTGAGTCCCTTTTCTTTTCTGACTTTTTTTATGGGTATTTCACTTTATATTAAAATGCATAACAATAAGAGTGCATAACATCTAATACACTTCATTATGAATCCAGAACAATACAACTGCAGGAGTATGGATAAAGCGAGATGTTTGCATGCATTTTGAGCCGATTTGGGCAGAATCCAGCAGAGTGGATCGTGCTGTTCACCCTATGTAATCTATATGTGAAGAAAACAAGTCTAAATATTTAAGATAAAGCTGTGAAACAATCTCAATAATTGGCAGCAAAAATGTAAGTATTTTTTAAATTGGAATAAAAGGATACATGTTGAGATAGAAAGTTCTAATATCTTAAGAGAAGAGCTTCAATATTAAAAAATACAAACTCTTTTGGCTCCTTCCTGTCTTTCTACTGGGTCTTTCTTGGCTTTGTACTGGCTATCTTCTAGCTCTATTCAGGTTTTTGGAGTTTTTTTCTAGCTCTATCCCTGATCATTTTCAGAACCTGAAGGCTCTATGCAGACTATCTTCTGGCTCTCCTCTGGATCCATCCACTATCTCGTCTCTGTCCAGTGAATTACACTTTTGTTACTGGAGCAGGTAAAGCATACAACAGATACTTTCAGCATTATCGGAGCACGAAGTGCAAGCTTGGATGAAACACAGCGGACTTCTAAACAATGAACACCCGCAACTTGGAAGAAATAAAGTTGGGTTTTATGCATTCTAATATTGCAATGCAAACCCATGATGTAATGACAGTAATTAAGAATAATTTAGTCATTGAAAGCTCATTTCAGTAGATTTGATCAAACAAAACATAAACATATTGGACATGGCCTCAAGACTGTAACCTCTTCACATTCTGTTGAAATAGTCAATTACTAGCCATATCTTAAACATTGCTGTTTTGAATCATTAATACATGGATGAAAGTTGAACTGGATGATGTAACATGTATGCCATCTGCTGGAAAGCAGTGATGCAAACACAGGTATGGTGAAAAAAGAGAGAACTATTCAAAACAGAAAAAAGCAGCGTAATATACCATCTGACAAAGGCCTGTGCTAATGCTTCAATTAACTGGCTATTCTTTATAATATACTCAGATCAATAGGAGAGAGAGATGTTAAGTTATAAATCAAGGGTTTTTATTATTATTTACAAAAGGGGTGGGGAACCTTTTTCCTTTCAATTTTTACAACATCCTCCGAGGGCCGTACAAATTATTGAACTCAACCACTGCTTAAAAAAACTAAAATCACAGCCCATTCATTTGGCCTTTCTTTCATGTTGTGCAAAGAAAAAGCAACCTCTTAATCCATATATCTTACCATGACTCGCGCATGCATGCATTCACGTGCACGGTGTGGCATGACCACCAAAACAGAAAGATATGGGCACAAGATGTGTGCACATTTATGTAGTATCCTATCCATGTAAACATGATTTAAGTGGGGGGGACCTAACCTCCTCTAGGGGGGTCGGGGGCATGCTCCCCCGGGAAGATTTTTTTTTTCAAATATTGAAGTTAAAAGCATCAATCTGGTGCACTTTGAGAGCAACATGAGGAGATCTATGGATACATCTCTCAACACCCATATGAAACAGAACTGTAAGCAGATTTTTCTTTTTGGATATTTTATAAATCACTCCCTTTTAAACTCTATTCTTGTTATTTTTAACAACTTTTTTGTCACTGTCATATAGTATTTTATACCCGTTTTTCATTTAGTCTCTAATGTCTCATCAATAACTATAATGATATCAAGGTGTGCCTTAACCTCACTGAGCTGAGGTTATTTGAGCCTCTCAGGAGAGAGCTCTCTTCCACCTTGTTGTAGAAAAGCTCTTTAAATTCGTTAGCATAGCTAGCTAACCAGATGCTAATAACAACAGATCGCCACTGTGCTTACATCTAAACAGTAGCGTGGCATGGGAAAAAAATTAGGGGAAGCCAATAATACGTCCTTTCTTTTGGGTCGGGGGTGTGGTGGTCAATGTAATAACGTAACCAGATGAATGATTACAGCACCCGGTATCATTTTAGACACATTTTTATCAGATGCAGGACTTACACACGCCTGTTATCTAACCGACAGGTCCGCACGCACTCTCCAGCCGAAACTCTAATAAGCATTCATTCACAAACTAAATCAGGAGACCTTTAACGTTTTACGTTCGATTCGCTCCTTTTTTCGTTTTCCACTGACCTTATTTCGAGCTATTTTCCTAAATCCTATGGAGAAATCCCATTCCTTTTTTGTCGAGGGAAACCGAGCGCAGCTTACTTCCGGTGTCAGTACCAGATATGTTCGGGTTACCAGATATGTTCGGGTGTATTTCCGTCGCATCAGTCTTCCGTCATATCCGTCATATACTCACCTCCCTCTGCTCCCAGCGCTCTGCTGCCACATACCGGCCGTCTGCGGAACTGCAGCCGGAGGAACTCGGGACAGCTTGTTATGTGTGGGGTGCTATGGTGGGGTCCCATGTACTTGTGCACATAAATAATGTTTCTAATTATTTACAATTAAAAAATATATATATTCTGCGTTACTTTAGCCAACACTTTTATAAGGCCACTAGATTAGATAATTACGAAATGTGTAGATAGAATACATATATTTCAGGTTGTTATTTTGTCATTATGTTTAATGTTTTATTTACCTTTTAGTATTTTTATATAGTATCTGAACTTTGGAGAGGAGTTGGGAGACACACGACACATCAAATCACATCTACAGATCAAGGCGAAGCGAATGGAAGTACTCCCATACTCCTAGCGTGAACATGTTTGTGAAAACGTGTGCAAAGTCTCCGAAAATCCTAAAAATAAGCTCATATTTGAATTCATCATAAAAAAACACATTATTCAGTAAAAACAAGGCCCCACTGATCATCTACTCTGAGACGATTCCAGGGATGTCTGGCTTGAGTTTCGACCACCAGGGAAAGTGGACAAAAGTGCCCGAGATCAGCCTCTTAATTTACCCAGGGCCTAGTGCTTAGCTTTGGGCATGACAATTCAGGAAACTCCCCTGAGTATTTTATTAAATATCTGAACTTTGGAGAGGAGTTGGGGGACACACGACACATCAAATCACATCTACAGATCAAGACGAAGCGAATGGAAGTACTCCTAGCGTGTGAAAATGTTTGTGAAAAACGTGTGCAAAGTCTCCGAAAACGGAGCAGTGGCTGTGAAGCTAGCTTTGCGGCTAGCGATTAGTTGTTATTGTTTGAAGTTATTGCTATGGAAACAACATGACGGAGAAAAAATTAATATCTTCTACATATAATAACGGACAAAGTAAAGAATGAAGTGTAGGCTATGCCTGTTTGAAGTTCTTGCTAAGGAAACAACATGACGGAGAAAAAGTATAATCTTCTACATATAATAACGGACAAAGTAAAGAATGAAGTGTCGGCTATGTTTAAATGTTCGGAATTTGACCGTGATGGCCCTCTTGAGTTGCCGTAAAATATGACGAATATGACGGACGACGGATGCGACGGAAATACACCCGAACATATCTGGTAGCCCGAACATATCTGGTACTGACACCGGACTTCAGGACGATTCACTGCAACACTAAGTTGATGCGATTTGATTGGATTGTGAGGCAAAGAGTGAAACAAACAGCGCCCCTGTAGATGTTATGGTGAAACAGTAAATTGCACTCACTGTTGCGAGAGGAGGCCAGCCAACTCTGGCTTCCCTTGGCATGGCCCTGACCAATCACAGGTTGGCAGGGGCATCACGTGAGCCTCATCTGATTGGTCAATCCCTCAATTTTTTGTCACCACGGGAAGCCAGATTCGGCTGGCCTCCTCTCGCAACAGTGAGTGCAATCTACTGTTTCACCATAACATCTACAGGGGCGCTGTTTATTTCACTCTTTGTAAAATACTCAATGAGAATGGGGGAGAGACAGGCCGGCAGCAACACACAGCAAAGGAGAATTATCGAAACAAAACAAAGTGTTTTTATTTATTTATTTAAATTATAACTACAATCCGAAAAAACAGGGGAAGCCTGGCTTCCCTTGGCCTCCGGGAGAAAACGCCACTGCATCTAAAGACACAGCCACGCAAACGCTGCGGCATGTGTACGGCTCCTTATGGGTACTGCAATATTTGAAGAGCTGGAGCGGCGTTCCAGTGCTCTCTGTCAGAACTCTAGTAGTCTACACTCCTTTCAGACGAGACATAACCGCGTGAAGACACGTTACGCTCGTGTTGTGTTCAAGGAACCTGTCCTTGGCCAGGAAAAACAGGCACTCGCTTGTTTAATTATTTTGCAATCTAGATTTCTTCTTTTTCGAAGTGAGAAGTTGTCCGTCAGTCGGAAGGACGGACGGACTGACTGACGGATCCCCCCCCCCCCTCAAAATGAAAACTCTTCGGTTCTCCACGAATTACACAAGTCACCCAAATCAGCGTTAAAAAAGCGGGAGGCGCCGAAAAGCGACTAATTTGCATCACTGGGAAAGGAGACATATCGCTCTGTTGGCGTTTAGACAACAAAAACAGAGTGAAGCTCTGATTTCATAAACAATCTTTGAGTAGGCTACATACACCGTCCTGGAAAGAGCACACAACCCAACAGCACGTTTTTGGTCTAGCATCACTTTACAAAACGCTTGCATTAAGACGCTACTTGCAGGTGGGTTAAATCAGGCTTAGAGAGTACCGTATTACATGTAACGGCATTAGGTCATCAGGATACAAAATAGACAAATGTATTCCCTTACAGTTATAGCAGCTGACGACCAACACACTTGTGTCTTTTGAAACGATTATGCCATTCAAATCTTTTGTCACAAACATTGAAGCTCTATTTTTCCTCTCCTGTGTGGACTCTCATGTGTGTCTTTAAATTATCACTCCGTGAAAATGTTTTTTTACAGACTGAGCAGCTGTGTGGTTTCTCTACTGTGTGGACGCTCATGTGTCGTTTTACATCTCTTTTCATTGCAAAATATTTCTTACAGACTGAGCAGCTGAATGGTTTCTCTCCTGTGTGGACCCTCATGTGTGTCTTTAAACGATCATTCTGTGAAAAAGCTTTCTTACAGACTGTACAGGTGAATGGTTTCTCTCCTGTGTGGATTCTCATGTGTGCCTTCACACCTCCACTCTGTGAAAAAGCTTTCTTACAGACTGAGCAGGTGAATGGTTTCTCTCCTGTGTGGACTCTCATGTGTTTTTTTAAATTTCCACTCCGTGCAAAATATTTGGTACAAAGTGAGCAGCTGAATAGTTTATTTTCAGCACTATGTTGTGGATCACTGACAGATTCATGTCTATTTTTCAGTGAGTTTGAAACTGAGGCAGGTTCTCTGGTCTCTTTCCAATCAGCACTGTCTTCAGTGTCAGGTTCAGAAGATTCTCCAGTGTCAGGTTCAGAAGAGTCTCCAGTGTCAGGTTCAGAAGACTCTTCAGTGTCGTCCTCAGTCTTTGTTTGTAAACTGCCCTCTGGATCTGAGTTCCTGGCTGGTTCTGGTCCTCGACAGTCATCTCCATCAGCTTCTGTTTCCATGTGTTCAGTTTGTCTTTGATGAGGCTGTGAGGACTGAGGTTTCTCTTTATCATCGTCACTCTTCACAGGGTCAGGAGTGAAAGTGGACTTGGTGATATCAGCCTCTTCCAGCTCCTGAAGCTGCTCTCCCTCCTGACTGATCCTAAGTTCCTCCTGTTCCTGCTTAATGGGTGGGGGGGGCTCTGGGTCCTTCTGGTCCAGACTGGTGCTCCACTCCTGCTGGTCAGGGAGAAGCTCTTCTTTAACCACCACCAGCAGCTGGACATCTGCAGGAAACAGGAATCACACAATCAGAACAAACTGTTAAGTGTTAGCATTTAAAAATCTAATCGCCATTACAATGGGAGACATTTTTCAGCCCTAATTAATGCCTTTGTTTTAATATTTTCACATTATTTTTCTTAGTCCCGTCTATTGTGTATTTGTGTTGTCTCAATTCACCTTATGTAGCCCAGCCCCTTTCCACTTCCAGTTAAAAATGAAAAAGGGTTTTTTCTTCTGGCGTAGCACTAGATGCAATGTAAACAAGGAATTGTATTTGGGATCGTTCAGAGATACACTACGCCTACAGTATACAATTAAAATACTCTTGTGACAAATTAAAATCCTGCATTCAAACCTTATTTAAGTAAAAGTATGCAAGTAGTAACAGAAAATGTTACGGTACCTTCTTATGTAAAGTAATGATGGTGCTGTAAAATGTTCCCTGTCAGTGTTTAATTTATGATGTTTCTTGATTATTTCGTATGTTGCATTTTACTGCTTTACATGTTCAAAGTTGCGCGTGTATAAATGATTAGAGATGAGGGAATCTGCTAAATATTAAAATGTCCATCCATCCATCTTCTCCCGCTTATCCGTGGTCGGGTCGCGGGGGTAGCAGTTCCAGCAGAGAGCCCCAAACTTTCTTTTCCCTGGCGACATCAACCAGCTCTGACTGGGGGATCCCAAGGCGCTCCCAGGCCAGCGAAGAGATATAATCCCTCCACCTGGTCCTAGGTCTACCCCTTGGTCTCTTCCCAGCTGGACGTGCCTGGAACACCTCCCTAGGGAGGCGCCCAGGTGGCATCCTAACTAGGTGCCCGAACCACCTCAACTGGCTCCTTTCGACGCGAAGGAGGAGCGGCTCAACTCCGAGTCCCTCCCTGATGACCGAACTTCTCACCTTATCCCTAAGGGAGACACCAGCCACCCTGCGGAGAAAACCCATCTCGGCCGCTTGTATCCGCGATCTCGTTCTTATTAAAATGTGTGTTTTTTATATACAGTACCAGTCAAAAGTTTGGACACCTTCTCATTCAATGTTTTTTGTTGTGTTTCTACTTGTAGATTAATACTGAAGACGTCAAAACCATGAAAGAACACACATGGAATTATCTAGTTAACAAATAAAAAAAATAAAAAAATCAAGAATATGATTTTTATTTTAGATTCTTCAAAGTAGCCCCCTTTTGCCTTGATGACAGCTTTGCAAACTCTTGGCTTCTCTCAGTCAGCTTCATGAGGTAGACACCTGGAATGGTTTTCAATTAACACCTGTGCCTTGTCAAGAGTCAATGTGTGGAATTACTTGCCTTCTGAATGTCTTTGAGACCATCAGTTGTGTTGTGCAGAGGTAGAGTTAGTGCACAGTGGAAAGCCCTATTTGACGGCTGTTGTAATCCATATTATAGCAAGAACGACTCAACCCAGTAAAGACAAACGACCGATCCTCAAGTGCAGTCGCAAAAAGCATCGAATGCTAGCTCCTGCCCCCCCCTCCCCTCCCTATGAGCCCACTGTGCTCTGATTGGTCAGCTCGCCCACTCTGTTTTGATGAGTCCACCACCGTTACAGCGGAACATCAGTGTTTATGTTTTACAATGGCGTTTGTTAGCAACCAGAAAATGACACCAGTAATGACAAACAGATGATAATGCTGCGTTGGGTCAGGGTGCAGTGTTGGCGGGATGTTGCAGGGCTCGCTGCTCCGCCCTTTGAGGCTCGAGGAGCTGGATTACTGGTGTCGTTTCCTGGTTGCTGCGAGACAGCGAGACACTGTGGAGCTAAGCCTGAGCACACACACTCACAACCTGGGTTTGAGTGTGTTTGTGTAAGGAGCTCCGCGCAGCACCGCGGCTGAGAAAAGATAAGGTTGAGTGAGTAAGTGAGTGTGTGTGTGTGTGTGTGTGTGGAGCTCCGCGGATTGGTCCATTTGGACTTCGTTACGACAGTATGCCCCGGAAGGAAAAAATGGAAAAAGAAAAATCTCCAACGAGGCGTTCTGGGGCAGCATAGATGTTATGTGCTCCCCTCCTTGTTGTCTTTTCTGTCTCCCTGCTGCACGCTTTATTTTGTTTCCCATAGGGTATTTATTTGATTCCTGGTTAGGGGAGGGAAACTCTGGGTCCTACGGCCCGTGGTGTAGCTGGCTCGGGTTCCCTCATTCTGTTTGTTTCTTTTGGCCAGTCCTCCAGACCTCTTTTCGTTTGCCAGATTGCTTGTGTGAGTAAACGGCTGTACTTCAATAAATGATCGTTATCAAGTACTGGTTTTTGCGTGCATTATTTTATGTTGCAGATCCCCACAAGCCACTACCACGGAGTAGAGGGCGGGTCGTAACAATATACATGTCTTTTCTGTGTTTGAGTTTTACTCGCTACAGGGTGTACTTTGAGGGTTTGTGATTTTGCAGACCGTTTGCAGAAAAAGCTACATAACACACAATAAATCAATCAATCAATGTTTATTTATACAGCCCAATATCACAAATGTTACATTTGTGTCAGTGGACTTCACAGTTTGTACAGAATATCAGTATGACAATACGACACCCTCTGTCCTTAGACCCTCACATCGTACAAGGAAAAACTTCCGGAGAAAACCCACAGTTTAAAGGGGAAAATGGGAGAAACCTCAGGGAGAGCAACAGAGGAGGGATCCCTCTCCCAGGACGGACAGACGTGCAATAGATGCCATGTGTAAATTGAAAAGATAATACATTTACAACATAGGTAGTCCAAATGTTTGGAAATACATGTGTGTCTATAATAAGAAGATGAATCCACGAGGATATCAGCTGATATTTAAATGCATTTATCTTAACTATCCCCCTTAATTAAAGCAGTATTTTGTACCCTACTCACCAAATCATCAAGTTAGACATTCTGTTCAGATTTATTTCTTTGTCCCCTCTGCAAAAAAATTGATTGGCAGAAGAGCGTTCATTTTCAAAGCCCCAACAGACTGGAATACTTTACCTACTGCTATTAGATCTCTTGCATCATTGGATATATTTAAACATGCATTGTTATCTCACTTTCAACTGGTCTGTACTTGTTATTAACTGATATTGATGAAACTGATTTGCTCAACTGTCTCAAATTGTAATGATTGTGTGCATTGCTTGAATTTTACTTAACAGACTATATGTTGTTTGTCTTGTGTGTCATGTTTTGCATTTTGTCTTTTTGTTTATGTATGTCTGTAAGTTGTTGCTATTGTCGGGACCCCCTTGAAAACGAGATGGTGCATCTCAAGGGGTTTATCCCAATGAATACAAATGTATCTATATCCAGGACCACAGCAACAGGCACAGCCACGACTCAAGATCCAGGGCTTGCGATCCAGGACTCAGGACCACAGCAACAGGATCAGCCACGACTCAGGATCCCGCCGTAGATAGACACCAAAAAGAAAATTTGGGGAAGCTGGGTTATTCGGAACATGAGAGTACACAGGTACAGACAGAGAGAAGGAAGAAGTAAGGTGTCCCTCGACAAACTAAGCCTATAGCAGCAAAACTAGGGGCTGAATCTAATCAGCCCTAACTATAAGCTTTATCAAAAAGGATGGTCTTAAGCGCACTCTTAAAAACGGATAGGGTGTCTGCCGCCCGAACACAAACTGGAAGCTGATTCCACAAATATGGAGCTTGATAAGAAAAGGCTCTGGCTCCCATTGTACTTTTAGAGACTCTAGGAACAACCAACCACCCTGCATTCTTGGAACGCAATACCCTAGTTGGACAGTAGGGTATAATGAGTTCTTTAAGGTAAGATGGCGCCTGCCCATTAAGGGCTTTGTAGGCGAGAAGAAGAATTTTAAATTCTATCCTATGTTCTATAGGGAGCCAGTGTAAGGCAGCCAGAACAGGAGTAATGTGGTCACGACACTGTGTCTCAGGAAATCTTAATATTTAAGAACCTATTAATGTGTTATACCAGATTAACGGGAATAATCTCAGCTAACTGACGATACAAACCATTTTTACCAAAACAAAACACAAGTCTCATAAGAAGCATCTAAATGACCCCTGAGCGGAAAATGCTAACCTATTACTGCACCGATAATCACTCCTAGCTCCCTTATTATTATTCCTTATTATTATTTCCCTAGGTGCACATCCAACACATCGTTTATGATCGCAAGGAGACACAAAATCTAACGGTGCCCACCTCAACACTGAAAGATACAAACTCGCGACGTTATCAACAAAAACGTACATCAAAACAAGTGGCGCTAGGTAGCCCACAGTGCTAACATGGCTTACCTTCGTCTTTGTCTGGTCTAAACTGGTTCAAGGCTTCAATGGCATTAAAACGATCAAAACGATGGTGTAGTTAATCCATAGGTTAATCCAATGTGACTGCGTCCCCTTTGAAATGTTCTGATAATCCATAAGCAATAAAACAGCTTTTCCGTAGCTTGATATCAGAGCAGCGATATTTCTCCCCTCTGCTGCAAGCTAGCATGCACAGAGATGCAACCTTTTTTTTTTTAACATGAGTGTGTGCGGGACGATTTCCCTTGGATTCTATTGGCTCTAACGGTCAAAAAGAGATGTCACATGTCAAAATTGAACAAGGGGGGCCAGAGATATGGAAAATCCACCCAAATGGTCCCAGAAGAGGTTTTGCTAAATCTGTCTAAAAAGGTCAAATATCACTTGTTTTGCATCAATCTTGATACAGGGTACTTATTATATGTTGTACTTTGGATTCATAAAGCTTTTAGTCTACTAAACCATCATCCAAGGTTAGTTTTCACTACAAGTACAAAATATTTTTTGGACGGACACTATAATTTACAGTTTTTTACCATGTTCAATCTGAATTTTCTTTCAAATAAAAAACATCTATATTGATTCTGACTTTTCTACATCCAACTCACAGGTTTATCATTACTTTGAGAAAAAATATTATTAATTTAACCAATTAGAAGGGAAGATATGGTCATTTGTTCTGGGAATGTCATTTTTTTTAGTGTTGCACGGTGTACCGATACT